GCTGTTTTTTTAAAAATAAACCTCATAATTGTGTTAGGATAAGTTTAACGCGTTTCTACGAGTTCAGCTCTTTCGGATCGAACGAATTTTATCTGCATTTCTTGCTTTTAAGAAATATTGGAGAAATTCACAGAACGACGTTATATCTTTCACATTTTTTATCTGATAAAGTTTTCAAGGGTACCATTGTAAATCAGGCAGTGCTAACTTTGCAAGAAGGGTCCCTTAAACTTACGCTTACAGTCCCTTTATAAAAACTGTCTTATTTTCAACGATACCTTTATAACTTTATCTGAAAACTAACGAAGAAGAAATCTCAATTTCCTTTATTGTCTCTGCTGCATAAATCCATAAACTGAAGTTAAAGATTATCAATTTTAAGTCAGAAAAACAAGGATATCAATATTGTTACTGTACAGATATTATTAGTGGAACCGGGCATCTAAATCATCACGTTGACAGTCCCTTTAAGATAATGTTAGACAAAAATTTTAAATTTTAAATGGAATTAAATGGGAAATATATTTTCAACTTTTGAAGGAAAATAATTTGATGAGACGGGGGGAAAATTCCTTTTTTTATAACAATTTGAAGATTTGAATGGTTTGGGTTTAGTTTTTTCTGAAATCCGCGAAATTGAAAATTATTTGGATAGAGTGGTGCATAACTGTGAGAATCCTAGAAAATATATATAGCATGTCACAGTAATAGAGCTAGAGCGTCATGTTCATTCATATTTCTACTTCATATTTTCTTTTCATGGAAACAATTTCAAATCTAATATATAATTAATGAATTTTCCACATGATTTATAAGTAAAAGTAATTTCTTTTTTTATTACGTACAGTACAGTACAGTACAGTACAGTACAGTACAGTACAGTACAGTACAGTACAGTACAGTACAGTACAGTACAGTACAGTACAGTACAGTACAGTACAGTACAGTACAGTACAGTACTGTACAGTACTGTACAGCACTGTAACATAAGCAAAGGTTCAGTACTATATGTAACTGTATTGTACTGCAATGTAGCGTGTAACATACAGTGAAGTATATTACAGTTTATTACTGTACAGTACAGTACATACTGGGATATATATTCAGTTAAAATCATTCAAATTTGTTTTTATTATGAAATATATATATACAATATACACCCCTGTACTGTTTATTCCAGGATACATACCCACTATGTACATATTTATATTTTATTTATATTTTAGGATTCAAATACAATATATAAACCCCTGTATATTCCAGGATATATATACACTATATAAACCCCCCTCTGTATATTCCAGGATACATATACACTATATAAACCCCTGTATATTCCAGGATGCATATACACGATATAAACCCCTGTATATTCCAGGATGCATATACACTATATAAACCCCTGTATATTCCAGGATACATATACACTATATAAACCCCTGTATATTCCCGGATACATATACACTATATACACCCCTGCATATTCCAGGATACATATACACTATATACACCCCTGTATATTCCAGGATACATAAACACTATGTACACCCCTGCATATTCCAGGATCCATATATACTATTTACACTCCTGTATATTCCAGGATACATATACACTATATACACCCCTGTATATTCCAGGATACGTATACACTATATAAACCCCTGTATATTCCAGGAAACAAACACTATATACACACCTGTATATTCCAGGATACACATACACGATATACATCCCTGTATATTCCAGGAAACGTATACACTATATAAACCCCTGTACTGTATATTCCAGGATACATATACACTGTATAAACCCCTGTATATTCCAGGATACGTATACACTGTATAAACCCCTGTATATTCCAGGAACCCTGCCTGGAGAAGAGAATCCCTGAGGTGGAGTTGATGTCTATTACTGAAGTTCCAGAAGGGTTGGATACCAAAGAATGGCTGGCACTTCATAGTAAGTTAACTGATTGATTGATTGATTTTGATTTATTCTGATTAATTGATTCTTATTGATGGATTTTTCGATTGATGGATTTTGATTGATTGGGGTTGATCGATGGATTTTGATTGATTGGTTTTGATTAATTGATTTTGATTGATTGATTGATTGGTTTCGATCGATGGATTTTGATTGATTGGTTTTGATCGATGGATTTTGATTGATTGGTTTTGATCGATGGATTTTGATTGATTTGTTTTAATTGATTGGTTTTGATTGATTCTTATCCTAGTCCATCATTAGATTTTTGGCATTATTATTATTTGGGTTTTGATCCTTTCATTTTTCCTACAAATCAGAAATTTGAGGTCAGGGGAGTAACATAAAAATGAACATAGTTCAATCAATTAGTATTTCTTGTTGCATTCAAAATCTTTTTTTCAGAATAAAATGTTATTTTCTGAAATATTTCCTTGTATCCTTCATCTCATTAATTTAAAAACACTCTTTATTTTATGATGAATGTCTATTTTGGAGAAAACTCGCTGAATCTCCGCAAACTCTAAATTTTGAATCTTTTATATCTTTGCAACCTGAAAGATAGTTTTACATATCGTAGGTCTTTGACATCCAATTGCAAAGATATATGGAATAAGGATCTTATAAAATTAAGGTTTAAAGCGAAAAATCAGCTTTAATTATTTATTATTATTTTTTAGCAATCGGATTTTTCGAGCACATAAATCTGATGTACGGAACTATTTCGGAGTTCTGCACTCTCTCCATCTGCCCAGAGATGGTCGGTCCTGGTCCCAGGTAGGACAGGGGTGGTCCGAGGTAGAACAAGAGGAGTGAGGCCTAGTTAGAACAGGGGGAGGTTCCTGGTGTATTAATTTTAAGTACCAATTAATTTAGACCTACCCCAAGCAATAAGACCAGACACTGTTTTTTTTCACTTTAATTTTGGGGAAACGGAAGCAGGACGTACATAAAGCTCTGGATTTTATTTTAATTATTAGATTTTTTATAAATATACAGGATGTAACCAAATAAACATTCTTTTAGACAAGAGAGCATTCACTGCACAATGGTTCAATTTGCAAACAATTGATTCAGTGGCAAGCTTAGATTGTCATAGCTTCCTCAACTTTTATTCTACATATCTTTAAAGATACGTTTAAAGATTGAACCATGGTGAGTGCTACTATTGAGACCCTGTATTTGTATTTTGCTAGATATTATCTGTGGATTGATGATAAGAGTAAGAAGAGCCGTGTCTCCTCCCCCCAATATGTTGACTTCGTCATGACCTTTGTCCAGAAGACGGTCAACGATGAAACCCTCTTCCCCACCAAGGAAATAGAATATAATACAACTAACTATGCTATGCATTGCCCATGGAATTTAAAAAATACTTGAGGGGGGGGGGTAGAATTTTGAACCTACGGGATTCCTCAATTTTTTTTAGCCTATTCGGTCCAGAACTTTTGTGTTGTGTATCGTTAATTTTAAACGTTTTATCTCGATATCCAATATGGGCATTTATATTTTGGATAAATGCCTGATCAAAGTTATTCCTGCAGGGTATGACCACCACGGAATATCGGAAGAGGGGTTAAATTATTCTATAGATCTGCATAATATAGAGATCAATGCTGATCCTGAGATTCACAATACACAATCAGGGCACTTCGCACCTACCTCTCTTGTAATGATTTTACCTTTTGATATTAGTTGAATTGCAACCATTTATTACTTATACATTTTAGGCCGATCTGGGGGTTTTTAAGGGATGGTTAGGGTCTTCAATAATACGTCATCATAATATTTTATATTCCAATTCTAGCACGGGAAAGAGTTCCCCCCTAACTTTGATGTGATAATTAAGAAGATTCACCGTTTACTCTTCCATGTTTTAGCAAAATAATTTATGTACACTTTTTTGTTTTTCTGAACATTTGATTTTGAGAGAAAATAAAGGTTCGCGGATTTTTTTGGGACACAAAAAAGGTACTATTTTGCACCAGACGCCTCAAATCACACTCTTTTTTGACTCACCCTGTATGCATACATACATACATCATTCACATTTCAGAGAGGTAAATTACGTAAATAAATAAATTACAATGTTTAGTGTACAGGAAAGATCAAAACAACAATAATATTTTTTGCACTGTTGACTATTAATGTTTTAGGCTGGAAATATAAAATGTAGCAATCAAAATGCAAAAATATATTTTCGTGCATAAAAAACTTTTTTTGTGAAAAATATTTCTTTCTCAGACAGTGTTTGGAAAATATGTATTTTATTCGTTTTTAAAATTTCATTAAAATATGTTGATAAATAAAAGACGTAAATATTTACTATTTTTTCGCGGATTTCAGTTTTTCATTTTTTTCAATATACCAAAAATGATTTTGGAATTTTGTACACCATATTTCTATATTTTAATACTTGAAACAGGAAACCTACAAAAATTTCAAAGTATGCTGTATAGGATAGATTAAATTATGTGTACATAATTTTTAGTGTACATAAGATTATAAATGTACATTGAGGTGACCACAAATGATAACTAATTTTAAAAATTGCACACGCAATGAAAGCGGTATTTTTCCCATTGCAATTCCTACTGTGAGTAATTCGTGAAAATTTTAGGTCGACAACTCGACTCCTCTTAAATTCTGGAAGAAAATCGCCAGAAAGCACTGAAGAAAGTTTTAAAAATAAAATTCATGAAATAATGATGTTGCATATCAATCTCTTCGTTTTCACGGTTCCGTTGAAATTGTTTAAAAAAATATTAAAAATAAATTAGTTGGTCTAAAAACCCGCCCAAAATGCTCGTTTTATACGAAAAGTACATTTTTTAGCGGTTTTTAATGTAACTCAGTCAATTTTTGAAATTTTTAAAATATTTCAACGGATTTCTAATATCTGGACAATTACGAAAAAATTATATGTGACATGATAAAATTAAAGAAAAAACTTTTTTTGGAATTGTTAAGGTCTTTTTCAAACTTTAGCAGCGATTATATCCCAGAGATTTAGAGATATTGAGCTGGAAAATTTTGATTAGTTCTCACGGTTCACATTGGAATGGGAAAAGCTACCGCGGGCATCTATTTTCAAAAGTTTGTCATCCGTGGACACCTGACTGTACATGATGTTTAGTGTACAAGATAGATTATACTAATAATAAACGTTCATTGTACTTGGATTAATTTAACTTTACGTACAATAGTACCAGGCCTTTAACCAGGGGGGGGGGTGCAAGGGGTCAGGTTAACCCCTCAATTCTCCTTAAAAGGGGGTGCAATGACGAATGTGCACCACCCCCCTTCTTTAGATTAGTTGCTTGGTATAATCTTCTCTTGAAAAATTCAGATACTATCATCCCTTGTACTGTATTGTGTAAATGCCATGTCTGAACAATGCTGTTTCCTTAGACCAACCAAATTAAACCTTCTTTGAAAAATATTTTTTCCAATGTAAAAAATATATACAGTATGTTTAAAAAAAACAATTCTTTAAATTTTGCAGAAACATTGCCTCAGTTTCAATATTTTGTCAAGACAATTCATAATCAGTGAACGATAGTAGAAATATAAAAATTATCAACATTTTCTGTCTTCGAATATTGTAAAATTTGAGCTAAAAACCAAATATGGAAATTTTCCTTGTACCATACAAAACATCAAATTCATGGAAAATCGAATTTTTACTGTAAAGTTATGTTCAAGCTAGTGTTGTTGACAAATTAGAAAATAGCTTCCCATATCATATTAGATTATCTCCAAGCTTTAACGCCAAAATCAAACCATAATACTCCAAAAAACTAGTATTCTCCGCAAGAAAATTCTTATATTAGCTTTATTCAATTTTTCAAAATGATTCATTCATCTTAAATTTTCTGATTAGTCCCGAAAATCGTAATTTAGACCGATTGACGATCTAATATGATGTGGGACACCCTGTACATAACATAAAATTCAAGCTAAAATTACTCATTTCTATTACAAAACTCGTTCACTACGTTTCACGCGGTGATCCTGGGTCCATACTAAAACACCCCTCTTTGCATCCCCCCTCAAGGGAAAATCCTGGTTACGGGCCTGAATAGTACATAGTACATAATAATGTTCAATGTACAGGATAACATTTATTTATGTACCTAATATTTAGGTTGTACTGCTGGGATTACATGCACACCTCAATTCATTGTTTGCTCATTTAATAGAGTTTAATCTTCATTATCAGACAATAGAAGATAAAGAAATAGAAGTTTTACAGGTTTGTTAACTGTCCCATTAAAGAGAGAGACTGGCTAGGTATGATATTGAGAGAGCAGTATTGTAAAATAGAATATGAGGATTCATTCTGATCTTAAACGTTTCCTGTAGATTTCGTTGAATTTTATTGCTAAGACGAAATTTGAAGAAATCTGCGAATAAATTTGTAGAAAATGAAGAATTAAAGATAATGATGATATAATCGATTCTACCATTGATATCATTGATACGTTATTCCTGAACAGAAAATAAACAATGTAAAAAATACGCCGGATGTTATATGCTTTTACGCAGCAATTATACAACGTAAAGACATATTACTTATATCAAATAATTCCTAATATTTTATTATGAAGTGCTACACTCTCAGCTCAACTACAGTACCACTCACTCCCACTAACCCTTCAGTGATAATTTTGTTTCCAACTTCTAGAATATTCCTTTAGTTGAGTTTTTTTTATCAAAAAGAAATTTCGAAATACATTTGAAAGCTTTGTAAAACCCACTTTTCCATTTCTAAAAGGGATTGTTAAAATTTTTTAAAAATATTTATTGATTAAAGGGAGTGTTAGCGAAAAATGAAAGGGGATATAGGCTTAATGCGATAAAAAAGCGCTTTTGATCGCTACTAATCTTACTTCTATCTGTTGCGTCTATAAGGAGAAAATTGTTAAAGACATCTCATACCGAAGAACATAGTGTCCATACAAATTAAGAAAATTGCAACATACGACTTGGACCGTAAAAAATCAATTTATTTTCAAACAAATCATTCAGATATTACAACCTATAGTCATCGATTATCTTTCGCCACATTTATATATATAGTTGATTTTTCATAATATGTTTTAATTGGTATTATCTGAGAGTAACTTATAAAAACATTTATTCCTGTTTCGTGGATTTTTGGTAATGAAGACGACATTTTAATATTTTCCAGAAATGTTCGAAAACAAGTTGTAAGCTGAATATTATTTAAAAAAATAAAATCGCATTAAGCCTATACCCCCTTTCATTTTTTGCGAACACTCCCTTTAAGGAACACTACTAATGTTTATTTTATTGCTGTAATTTCAAGCGACACTTAATGGAAAGATGGACAACGATACCTTTGAAACCTTAATCTGATCGAAAATGTGAAAGATACTGGGTTTTTTTACTCCAGACGTGTTAAGTTACAATAATGTCTCCATTGTTCCTTAAAAGCAAGAAAGGCGCAAGTAATTCACACTTGATCAGACGAAGCTTTAATGGTACCGTGCATGCAGATTGTGTGTATTTAAGAATATGTGCACAATCCCTTGACACAATATCTACTTTACAATTCATGTCTGATAAGCCTTAAAGGCAATTTAAGGTTTTCTAGTGGGAAGTTGATATTGGCAATAAAAGCCGAAATGAGGACATACAACCAAACTTACTAAAGTTGTAACATCTTTTATCTTTGTGAAATATGGGGGGGGGTAGACTTATTTCAGGGTTATACAATGTTTTAGAGGAAAAAAAAATTAAATAAAAAAGCACGTTTTCCCTCTTAATACGTTTATACCCAAAATAAATTGATTTCCATATTCAGCGAATAATTTTTTTTTAAAAATCCGCTCCTCGCAAACATACTCTACATCATCGGAATAACAAAGATTTTTATAGGGTGTGGGGAGTAATTTCCCAAGAAGATATTTACCCCTGGCTCCCCATATCAAAGGCAGAAAAGAGCTCATAATTCTCTTTAATGTTTAGAATTGATGAAATAAAATTTCAGGGAAAAGGATTAATTTTCTCTTCTTTCAGGACTTGATTAAATCCTTGAAAATTATGCCATCTGTCAATAACAATCTGGGAGGGGAGGAGGAGGAGGAAGATGAAGAAGAAGGAGGGGATCAATTGGATAATGCAGTGAAGGATAAAGAGGATGAAAACAAAACAGATAATGTTGTGATGGACACAGGAGAGGACAAAGAGGAGGAGACGGAAGAGGAGAAGGTGGAGAAGGAAGATGAGAAGGTGGAGAAGGAAGAGGAGAAGGGAGAGAATGTAGAGGAAGAGGAGAAAAGAGATGGTGAAGTATCAGAGAAAGGAGAGAACTGCAATGAAGAACAGAAAGAGATGGATACAGAGGAGAAGGATACAGATGAGAAGGATACAAAAGAGAAGGATACAGAAGAGAAGGATACAGAGGAGAAGGATTCTGAGAAGAAGGATTCAGATAAGAAGGATTCAGAGGAGAAGGATACAGAGAAGAAGGATACAGAGGAGAAAGAAGATACACAGACTGATAAGGAGAAGAATGATGAAGAAGAAGTTGAAGATAAGGAAGGGAGTGAGAATAGTAAGAAAGAAGATGATGATGATGATGATGATGATGTTCTCCCAGGTATATTGACAGTTAAATGGACTGGTTCAGTCATTCAAAGATTTTTAAGTTGAAGATTTCCTATTGGACCCGGTCATTTTATACAAGGTTGAAAAGTACTTGTCTAAGAAGAATGGGAGAAATTTTTGCCACTTGTTAAAATATTAAAACAACAATTTTCAAATTTAATTTTTCTTCGAACTTTGTTTTAATTATGAAATTTGTAGTGAGCAATTTAAAATTAATTAATTAAAAATTAATGTAATGTCAATATAAGTTCAAGCGTTCTTTGATTGAAAAGTGCTTCAAACTGACTCAAAGTAAACTCAAAAAACTTCATAGATTTGCTGTTCTGTCAAATGATATAAAAAGAAACTTATTTAATACTACATTGTATTTAGGTCCTACTGCGTGAATTCACGCAATGAGTCCCAACTAGTCCCAAGTATAGCGCACGTGGAATTAGCTGAGCTAGTAGAAGACGACATTTAACACGTCTATTAGAAGACGATATTTAGATACGTCCAGCCAATCAGCATTGATATTTCTAGCTTCCCATTAGCTATTGAATAGCTCTGACACTAAATGTATTTTATTTTGTATATTCTATATTATCGTCGTGAGCAGGTTTATTAAGTTTCGTAGTACACAGATTAGGATTAGAAATATAATTTTTAAAGTACTAACAGATTTAGTTTTTCCTTAATATATTTTCATGAAAACTTCCCCCCCTCCTCCCCCCCCCCCATATTCTTGAACATATTTTCTGATGGATCTATTGCTGAATAAAGGATTTTTAAGGAAAAACAAATGAATTTTTGCGGCAAAAGTACGAAACAGGGTGAAAAAACTTGCCTTTTGATGTCAAATTTTTTTTTTTTCCCTAGAGCATCAAAACCCCTCCGGTTATTCTTGAAAATATATACTCCAAAGGAAATTAAATTTTAAACCACAGAGCAATTTTAAAAAACTTTCTAATCAGCGGGAAAATACTTAATTTTAATGATTTCATTTAATTTAAATTACTATGGTGAAGTTGGTACAGCTCTGAGCTAATTAGCACAAAAGTATTTATTTATTTGCTTTGAGCATTGAGCTTAAACGTGTTATTTTGTAATCGCTATATTCTTGTTTTGTTTATTTATCATATTTGCTTCAGGGCTACCCCCAGGCCCCTTAAGGACCCATATCTAAGCATTTAAGTATTAATTTTAGATAAAAATGATGTACCAGATAAAGAATTAATGAGTTTATTACTCTATTTAATCATTACAGTATAATGTTAATTTTCAATTAAGTGTGATCTTTTGTGCACAAGTAAAAAGTGATTGTGAATGTATATAGGGACTCTCCATAAATATAGTGGCAAGTCTGATTCACGTCAGGACCCTTAAAAAACGTTCTCCGATCAAGAATACATTATATTCTCTTTGAAATTTGAGAACTTTCAGTTATGGTTTCTCTAAAAAGTGACTTGCGTACATCTGATTTAGAAACAATGAATTTAGAATTAAACACTTCTCAAACTAGAAATACTACGATATCTTTCACCTTTTTAATAAAAAATGTTTCCAATGGTACCTATGTGAATCGGGCACGACCCTCTTATAAATGGAAAGGCACTAGAAAGTACGACGACAGTCCCAATATAAAGTTATAGAAATAAAAAAATTCAAAATTCAAAATTTGAAGGTTAAGAACAATTGTGAGTTGTGAGACTTATCCTGTTATATGGTGACAGGTTTTCTGATGGAAGCTTATTAAAAAAAACTTTTTTAAGTTCTTAAAGAAATAAAAGCAAAAAACCAGATATACCCCAGGGGGTTAATTACACTGTTTGTTCCAAAGATGCACTCATAAAAGATGATATTTTCAAGACGACTATTCAGAATTTATCCTTTCCTTCTCTCGCATTCATTGTTTCTCGCAGTTATCAATTCGTTTTTTTATTTTAAAATTTCTTAAAGTCAAATTTTCCAATTATTATAATACTTTTTACTAAAATCATGGTAAAACTTATTAAACCTTCATGTCGACATGTGAATCTCATAATTTGTGGGTTACCTTGTATTTCAGTTATCCAGTAGGAAATAGAATTGTTAATATCTAGTTAAATCTAGGAAATAGAATTCTTAAATCTAAACAATTAAGGGATAGTTAATTAAACAGGAGATTTTTCTTGGGAAGGTTGGAAAACAGGTCTTATTAAATTATTGTTTTTATTTAATTAAGTAAGTTTTAAGGCAGACATGACAATAATATGTTACACTATACGTTATCCCCATCCCTCTCTCTAGATCAGTGAAATCTAAGGTTTCCATGTTTCCAGGGGGTTTTCAGGCTGCACATGGTGCTGGGCCCCTCCTAGTTAGAAAAAATAAAGCCCCCCTTGACAAAATCCTGAGTACGCCCCTGTTATCTGTCGCCTGGCAGAAACCTGGTTCATTGATGTGATTTAAACCAAAGTTATTTTCGTCTTGTATTTAATCTTAACTTTTAAGGGGACAGTTCCCAAAATATTCATGAAAACTCGCTTTCAGATTTAATTTTCTTAAATCAAAAATATTCCAAATGGTGTCTTCTATCTACACATAGAATTAATTGAACTGGGGGAAACACTTCATTAGGAAGTATACCATTAAATTTGTACAGGGTTGTTATCCTAGCCTGTTTCTATGCAAATGGTAACACATGCATACACATATAATCCAAGAACTGTCCCTTAAGAAAGATTTAACACAAACAATTTAACCCCGAGCGGTCTTAATTCAATGAGCTTGTGTATATAGCAAATCTGTGAGATTGAAGAAAGATCGATCAGGTTCTTTATAACCTCCGTCATAATACGTATCAATTATAACGTGTAGAAATGTAAAATAATTATAGTAACAACTAGCAAAATAAACTCACAAATTTTCATTTTTTTTGTTAAAACTTACCAATAAGATACCAATTTGATTTTCAATCAAAGAGAAGGGATGTTAAAAGGAATACGCTTAATTTCAATTGACCCTTAATTCAAAGATGGAATTGTCCGATTTAAAGCTTTGTCTGATCAAGATTCAAGAATACATTATATATCAATGTTTTAAATTATTGGAAACCGATCATTTTCTAAATAAAAGCGGCTTGTGCATTTCTCTGCAGGAAAACGTTGAAATTATCAGAATTAAACACTCTTAAATCTAGATAAATGTCAACATCTTCCATATTATTGATCAGATAAAGGGTATCATTATGAATCGGGCATTGCCATTTTTGCTTGAAGGATAACTATAAATAACGCTTACATAAAGCTAGATAATATTTAATATAACAGTGAACAGTTCCTTTCAACTCAAAGGAAAAAACTGTAAAGATTACCTGAAACTCTTTTAATCTGATGTTTCCAAGGTTGAATATTATTTTTATATGGTATAAATTTAATGATTAGGCAAAGAAAGTTTACGGTTTCAGGTAATTATTAATTCTGTACAGTCTCATCTTTTGTGGGTAACCCTGTATTATGTATAGTTGTTGAATTAAAAAGGGGATGATCTCGAAATGGGCAGTGAGAACTACTGTAGTTGAACCTCCCAGGGACAAAACCAACAGGGCATATATTTCCCAAACCAATAGTCCCGGTTAACTAGAGTTCTCGAACATTCATAACATCCTAACATTCACAGAATATACTTCTTATCCTCTATTTTATCCGCTAGTCGATAATAAATGGTATGCAATTTATTTCAATCTTAAAAAAATACATTGAATTATCAATAGTTTACAGAGTACAAAAGTAATGTTTTATTATAATGAAATATCCTTACTAGTTGGGGGTATTGAGGTATAATCCGGTTATTGAACAGTGCTAAAACAATGCTCTTTGTCTTCTGAAATAAAATGGTAATTGATTTTAAATATGTAAATCACTATTTTTAAAGGTTTTAAACTATTTTTTTGAAGCGAGGGTACTGCACGTGAAAATTGCAGTTTACACTGTTCATTAGTGGTAATGTTTGGTTTGGCTGCCGGAGAAAATCTTGGTCAAAGACGACCTTACAACGGAGTATACTCACTGTTTAGGGTTAACAATAGTACATGTAATGATATCATTGATTTTTATTTCCTCTGCTATTCATAACACAGACACACTTGTAACTCATTTTTGTTAAACCAATACGATTTAATTGTGCCATTTTGCGCTATTATTGCACAGATTGCGAATAAAAACCCAGAAGTGTGGGGTACCACCCTACCAGGAGATCAAGGAAAACACAAAATAAATTTCGTGTTCGAACTCTTTTGTGGGTAACCCTGTAAAAATAGATATTAGCTCGTAAGATTTTGACAAAATGAATGTTTCAAAAACCAATTAAATTTATTTAAATGAATTAGTTCAGGTTTCAAGATATGGTAATATTTTCAATTTGTGTAAAAGTAATATTAAAGTCAGTGGAAGGTTGATTTGTACCTATTATACTCTGTAAGATGAAAAAAAATCAATTTTAATTAATTTTTTTCCTCCAGACTTTATTTATTTAAAGTTTGAACAAAAGGGCAGCCATGTACTTGAAGGGAACTAATGAGCTTTTGGATAAAAAGTGTTAAAAAAGGGGAAAGTACAGTGAGGACCATAAAACTATAGGAAGACGACTTTAAGACTCAAGTTATGACTTTAAATAGTCCAATGATTGTGCAGCCTTAACAGACCCATTTGAGTTAATAAGTGATTTTACTATTTACTAGTATAGAACTATTTGCATCAAATACAATTTGTGATAACATCTAAAACAATTAATTTTTGCTTTAATGTCGTTTTCTATTTTACAATTTTCTGGTTATCACTGTAGCATTTATCTGGACTTTACAGTGATAACCACAAATCTGTAGAATAGGAAGACGCCATTATAGCAATTCTGAAGTGTATTTGATGTACAGGGTGTCCCAAAAAAATATGGGAATTCAATGACGAGTTGGATATCGTCTTTGTTATGAATTAGCATTGTAATACCTATTTTCAAAAGCCATAATATTATTATGTCTGCTAGAGATTATTTTATGAAAAGGGTAAAAGACTGTAAAGATGTGTCTATAATGTCTCCGCAAGATGAACAGTGAAGACGGACAAGTTTACTCTGTTTGTGTCCTGCAATTTTCTTGTTTCACTAAGTACTACCGTATGCAGTCAAAACATAAACAAACAAAATGTGAACATAGCAGACGAAACTTTAACAGATTACAGCTTTCTCAGTAGGTATCACTATACTAAATCAAAGAATTGTCTTATAAGACGATATCGAATTCGTCACTAAATTCTCATTTTTATTGGGACACCCTGTAGTACGTATCTAAAAATAAATTATTGGACTTCTACAGAAACCTGTTTTAGTTTCAATATTTTTATAGACATATTGTATTTGTATAAAGTAAATATAAGTCTAAAAGGTTGATTTCACAGTGTGGTTTTAGCTTCACTTTAAAAATAATTAATCTTTTTGTATTAGCTACGTAAATAAAATGAGCAGTAAAATTTAAATGATCAACATGTTCTGTCATCAAATATAAGAAAATTNTTAAATTTATATATGTCCAATTCTCAATGGTACCTTTTAAACCTTTACCTGAGTAACAATGATGAAGATATCGTTGTTGTTTTTTTTATCTTCAAACATTGAGAATTCTCGACATTTCTTTAATTGTCTCTGTATCAATTTATAGAGCAACCGCAATTTAGAATAATTTAGTTTCCAAGAGAAAAAGAAGGATTCTTTTATCAGAGAAATATTTCAAAGTACCCAAAGTGAGTCAACCATGTCATTCTGTAAAAGAAGGGCAATTTCAAATTACGTATACAGGCTGTTTAAGTTTATAAAGGGTAGCGATATATAATGTAGGACTAGGAAAAAGGCAGCAAAATGTTTCAAAATTTTCTTTTCTTTTGTGCAAATGTTTGTGACCCATTTTCTCTACTTTGTTTCCAGGATTTATCTAATTCACTTGACGTCTCAGGGTTACTGATGGGATTGAAAAGACCTCAATTTATTATGATTACAATTGTACAATCCCCCTCTCTTCTCCACAATTTTAGAATGAAAAAGGGGGAGGGGCAGAGGATGTCATATTATATTCTTTCAGATTTCACTGTTATAAGATAAGATAAGATATAGTTTATTGCTAAAAATACACATACAAGTTATAATTTTACAGGCAAAAATCTGCAACTATTTTTATATTGTTTACTGTATGTATGTATTATATAATTTTAGCAATTAGGTGGAGATTAGCTTTCGCTGTTTTGGGTATTATCCCCACCTAATTAATATTAAAACTTTTACAATATGATGAATATTACTAGGTTTTGAAAGTTTACAATAAGTCAGGGATTACTAGTTAAATTTAGAAAGACCGAGGAGCAGCATAACAAAATAATTGATTTTTCAGTTTTAAAGTTAAGTACGTATAACAGAATAAGATTAAGCATGTACAAAAATCTACAAAGTTCTATATTCATTTTTTGCAAGAATAACAAGAGGGTTTATCGCACTTTGAGATGTATGGCGTCAGATAACATTTCAAATAAACTTTTTTTAAAAGTTAAGTACGTATAAAAGAATAAGATTAAGCATGTACACAAATCTACAAAGTTCTATATTCACTTTTTGCAAGGATAACAAGAGGGTTTATTGCACTTTGAGATGAAGGC